TATGATACGGCCCCGAATGAGAAAGTGTCCCGGACGCTGATTTCGGGCGCAATTTAAAACATGACTCGGCAACTTTTGAATTGAAATCGAGATCCTAGAATATTGTTTCCTGTATCCTTCGAATATACATCATTCGCTGAGCTGAAAATTCATCAGGTTAGTTGTTCAGCACCCTTCTTTAGATTTGAGCACTTTTGTTGAGCACTTTTGTTGAGCACATTTGAAACAAAATAATGCACAAATGACGATGACGTATTCTACCGTTAAGGGTGATATTTAAAAGAAAAAAACTGTCAGAAATTACTTGAAAATAGGCCTAATATGCCTGTGAACAAAATGATCACAAATGCACCTCCTTATCTATCGGTTCAAACCAATGTCGTCAGTTCACTCAAAGTGAAAATGAGTTTTTGTAAATTCGTGCATGATAAAAAAAATATGAACGATGCGCGGATGTTAATAATTACTGCATGATGTATTTTTAAAACTCCAACTCTAAAGTCCAAATACTCATTTTGACACTGTGAACTACCCACAAGAATTTGCATTTCAAATCCAAGAATCTGACATAAAGTGGTTTTGGATTTCGATTTCAAGAAATTTGAAATACCGATTTTTAAAATAAATCGGCGTTGCCAGATTGTACACATTATTATAAGCTTGAAAAAAATTGAATAGCAATCAAGCAATACTTCCCTTGATTTGTGTCCGTTTATTATTTCAGGATTTGAGCTCGCTAATTCCCAGATTACCTGAAGTGCGACCCGACCACTAAAATTGACCACTTGGAATCTTCAAACTCGGAATAATAATCAGTAATCGAATACCAAGAGGCTTACCTTGTACTACCTTAAGAGTACGCGATAGTCCTTGGGTCCCGATCCGATGGTAAAGCCCTCTATCCACACGAAATGCCCGCATCAGTATACTTATACCAAGCATAGCCTGCAATATTATAATGTTACCAATTCTCTCCGATGGAGCACTTATAGAATAAACTCCAAAACTAATTAGGGCCGTAAATTGGCGCGGATACCAGCAAAAACAATTTTCCCTTGTAGGTTGTGATGCCGGCATCGAAACCATTAAGCGACAGGCTTCGATATAACAGTATACGGTGCTCTCCGTCGGCGCGGAACGAACATCGGGTCCCGACACTTTAAAATATTCTGTATATTTTTATTGTCCGTTAGATATGCACATAATTCTACGAATTGAATTGTCTAGCGGCACCTGGGTTCTTTCATGTAATAAAAATATGGTGCACGTTTAACGGTTCGTATAGGCCTATAGGATCATTTGCTTTTTGTGTGTTTTTTTTGTTTTCGTTTGAAGTAACAAAATTGCTCAAAATTTTAAGTAGGATGTAGAACAACTATTTATCCTGTTGAAGTCTCAGCTCAGTGGATACTGCAGGCATTATGAGAAACAAAGCAAACACACCGTGGAATTTGTATCCTTGTGGAGTCGTGTCTTTGTTCTCGTGTACTAAAGTTTTCGAGTTTGAAAGTGTAGTTTCAAAATGCTCCTATTTTAACCAGAATTAATTTCCTGGGCTGACATTCGGACTTAATATCCCTTACATAAAATACTTCAATTTGCGACGGATCCACACACCTTGGAAATTCCTAGTTTTTGAGTAAAATCCATATATCTTTTTCGTGATAACCTTGTGGAGACGTATTCACCTATAAAAATTACCCTGTGGAGACGTATTCAAATCTTGTGTTCCCTGTTATGCACATGTCTCCACAGGGTACCGGTATACCATGTAACAGATCGTTATTGCACAATTTTGTTGGGGTCTCTCAACTGGACTCCGTTGATAACGCACGGAACAGAGTGCGCCCTCAGGCACCTATTTTGAAACAACCTTCAATGTTAGTTTTCTTTCAAACGATATCATTTCAGGCGGAATTATTCCACACGGTATTTGATACCAGTTCTATGTTCAATTTGAGGAAAGTTTCTGTCAGTTAATCGGTAGGTACTTTTTTTCCCAGCTAAAAGACACCCTGCCACTATTCCAGTCATGTTCAGTGTATCCAACAACAGAACTGAATGATAATGTTTTTTTCTGTGCAAAAAGGAACCAGACTATGTTTCCTTCCCGCCTCGCTTTGGTTACGTTGATTTGAATGGGAAGAAAAACAAAATGGCCGCAACATAATAATAGTCTATTGCAAAATATGATCGCACTTGGTTTTAACAACATTCAAATTAGGTTTTGCCCTTCAACATTAACAACATTGCCAGGACTTTAACTCGGATAGGAAACCGAAAATGAACATTTTTTTAGGAACACCTAGTCATCCCAGCGGGCATTGGCCTAATTCAAAAGGATTAAAACGTCATCCATTTTCAAAGAACGAAGCCAACAGAAGCGAAATAACTTCCTCGCCGGATATCCCTAAGTACTCCGTGTCAGTTCCAAACACTCTGTTGACTCTGACGAAATGTGAGCCATTTGTCACGGTGTATATTAATAACTATCGGTCTCATCTCTACTTCTCATAAATTGCTGGTCGAGTATATACGGGATTTGGGTGTTGTCCGTGGAAAGTAGTGAGCTATGAGACGACAGGAAATCCGTAGGATGTGATAATTATTTGACATGATGCGACGCTGATATTAGGGTTTAACGTTCAAGACATAAGTGTGACTATTACTTATAGTCTTGGAACAAGACTAACCGTTGTCTGTCTATCGTAGTGACGTCATGTTACTATACATCTTTGATGAGCCAATCAGAGCGTTCTTTTCATAGCCACTGGATTACGTCAGGGTAACTCATTGATGGGAAGAGTTCAGGTACTAGTAGACCTATCTCCATTCATGTTCGTTTAATATCGTGTGTTGGATTTTAGTGTCTGTGTGCATTGGTCTGTGTTTTTGAGGGGCACTTTTGTTGGCCAAGTGCCCCCCCCCCAAGCCCCCCCCCCCCCCCGTTCCGCCGCCCCTGCACCTGGAGGGTGCTCCGATTTTTCAAGAAGGGCACTGAAGACGACTGGTATATTGTTTTTAAGATTTTAAACAGGGGGGGGGGGGGGGGGGGGGGGCACGGGGGTGGGGGGGGGATGGGGGGGGGGTGGGGGGGGGGGGGGGGGCACGAACCTCCGCTGGGGGATGCCCCTGAGCGACGTCCGGCAGTTTTGGGGAAATCTATATAAGATAATAATGAATCAATCAAATTTGGTTGACATGCATCAGACCTTAAGTCAGACAATTCTAATCATCTATATAGAGGCAGGCCTTGCTGTAAATTAAATAGGATTTACGTGAGCTCGGCTTCGTGCAGGTAACAATTATTCTAGCGTAGTGCGTAGTGATGGTCTAACTTGTCTAGCGCCCCCATACAAATAATACGAAAAATAGGACTGATTTGTCTAGCGCCCTCACGCGAATGATAGGAAAAAGAAACTTGTAACTCGTACTCTTTTGTGTGTGTATTTTTAGAGGTTATGTCTTTAAAAAAGTCCTTAAAAATAAAAGAAATGTCCTTAGAAGTGGAAGCACTGCAGGCGCCGCGCACTTTACTTTGCAATGGGCGGCAGGGACGACGGCGACGACCCACTAAACAGTGATCCACCAACAGAGGGCAGTAGACTAGTAAACTGTTCTCTATCTATTTTGTTCTAGCCTTGGGAAACTGTTCTTTGAGCTGTCTTGGGAAACGCCGACACCGAGACAAGTGACCCGAGGTCAGCAATATTTGTGCGTGCGCACAGAATTTCACTTTATAGAAGTTGCTACCGAGCAACCGACGATGCTTTGCGTTTCATCATCACAAGTTTTTGAAAGAGTATAGACCTAATTGTCCTGAAAAAGACACCACTCCAGAAAAAATATCGTTCCGACGGAACCAAACACGTTGAGTATGAAGATCGGGAGGGGGGGGGGTATAAACTATTCCTCCCCACCCCTCCCCCGGGATCGCCGTCCATGCCCCTTACCCACTCCCTTTTTTCAAAAAGTTTTCCTGAGTGATTTGTTTGGCTTTCATCTTGGACACTTCAAAAGTTGTTTCTGTTTACTCAGGCTGTAAAAGTAATTAATACATGAACATAACACAATATTGATATTAACATAATAAATCGATTCACTAAAGCTTGGGGTATGAAGTTACGTGTCACTCCCCATTGGTCTTCAAATTAATGTTAGCTGACAAAGAGGAAAGACAGACTGAATCTGAATACTTCAAGGGAAAGAAAATACATACAGCAACAATAATTAACAATGTGGACGGTTAGACTGTAGTGTAGGCCTATAAAACGGTTTCCTTCGGCTCCGATGCGAATTAATTTTCGTCCTTTCCTTTCTTTATTTTAAAATCTTTTAACCCGTGTTTTGCTTTGAATAAATATATAATGCGCCTGAGGTTGTTTATACTTGATCTAATTTTAGTCATTGAGCCGCTCTGCGAAAAGGCCTATAGGCTAATCCGGTTTAGTTTACAGAGTCCAACTGAACTCGGACTGCAAGGTGGCCATTTTAAATCCTCGGGATTCTTTTTAATCCTTGCCAAGTGTGCCGTATGGGGCGTCGAGTGTTTATCCCACATTTGGACGCGATTATCTTCCCCCTTTTGTTTGCCGTGTTTATTGTCATTTTATTTGCATGTAAACAGACCAAACCAGGGATCGAACGCCACCGTTATGGTTGCCTCCAAGTACCACTCATGCGTGAATGAAAAGATCCTTCATTGATACATGCCACTTTTGGAGGGCCCCATTTCCAGGACGAAATTCCTCTCGAACCAATCCAAGAAACAGATGCCACGAAACATTTTCAAGCGAGCAAATAACTGATTGACAAATTAATAGTGTTTTTCAAAAATTATATGTGAATTCTGGAAGATTTTTGACAACTTTTGTCTAGAGACAAAAGTTGTCTTCACACTTCGTATGCCACTTATTGACATACGTTGCCCTTAGCAACTGCGTAATGAGACCAATGAATAATTCAACCACGCATGTACATTGTACGTACGCACACGCACTGCACAAATGAATACGAAAAATCGCACTACACGTTGTACGTGCAGTTTTGTATGGCGATTTTGAGTCAACAAAAGTCCTGCAGATTGCCCATTTTACTGCCGACGAAAAAGCAAATTTATTTAGAAGCATGAACCCCCACATTACAAGCATGGTGTGGCTGAGATCTAAAGGAGTTGTCTAGGTGAAGTTTAGATGCTTTTGAGTGCAGGGAAGCTGATCAATTTGGGACTTTTTGGTGGTTAGATTTTGACGGTAAGTGAAGCAAAGTTTTGCCGTGGCCGGTACCGTGGGACACACACTGACCGTAGGCCTACCGGTTATCCGTGCTGTGCTGACGGGATACGTTGTCAAGTGATTATTTAGTCGTTAAAAATGTGATTTGTGGTTGCGTTGGAGTTGTCTGATGTTGTCAGTTTGTTGTATGATTACTTATGAGAGTGATATACAAATTTCTGAAAGCACTGCCTGATTCGGAAAATGTTGCTTTTGCCAAACAATTGAACTGTTTTTAAACTTGTAAGTTTTGTGAAACAAGTTCAAATTAACTATTATTAAGTAAGTGCAAGTTTGAATCTGAAAGTGTGAAATCTGTCCAAGACATGACACTTGACAGCATATTCAACATGTTGAAGCATGGCTTGTGTGTGCAGTAAAGTTACTTTTGAAAGAATGTTGAATCCTGAAGCCACTTTTTTAAAATGAAGGTCAGTCATTGTAAGAATTTAGAATGTTGAAAAGACATGAGTCTGGGAATGAGAAACAATCCAATTTATTTTAGAAAATAAAATGCACTCGACTCTCCCATAGACTTGTACACAACCAAAGAAGTGGCGTCTGGATACTACATTCTTTCCCATATGGGGATTATTGTTGCAACCATTTCATGCATTTCAAGGAGTAAATATTTGTATGAAATGAAATTTAAAATTTAATGTAGGCCTATTCATTTAGGCCCTACCCTGTCATAGTCCGAGTAACTTGGACCCAACTTATCGCCTTTTTTAACATTTTGGACATGGTCTGGCGATAGTGGGGTCCAAGCTAATACCGCGACCTGGACAACATCATCCTGTCACTGTCCCGAAAACCAACATTTTCCAACAAAAAACATCAGATTTCACCTTCAAAACGGCCTCCAAATTACTAGATATGTCACCTGAGGTACAAGTAGACATCGATAATTAAGATGGTTGTACTGAAGTTTACTTACGATCCGGAAAAAAAGTGAAATTTTCCGTTCATTTCGGAGAGCTCCCCTCGCGATCTTGAACACGTTAAATTTCCGATCGTGTTTAATGTTTGAACAACGCGATTTCTTCTACATGCCCAGCGTACATTCGATGGTCCCCGTATCCCAAGTGCGATTCCGTTACCGAGCGCGCGCGATGCATCGATTATGATAATGAGTCACGTTTGTAAACACATACATGTGCATTTCGAACTGTAAAAGGGAATCGGGAACCAGCTTGAACTGGTACCCGCCATAAAAGCTGCGCTAGTTCCCGACTCCCCTATTATCGTTTGAAATGCACATGTGTTTACAAACGTGATCCAGTCTACTTATTATCATAATCGCTGGTTGACGCACACAGTTCCTTGTGTGTGACGCACGTACACCAGGGGATTTGTACTATGTAGGCCTACACGCAATGGCCGCGCTTCGTGGCAAATGGGCAATTCCACGGTAACGGAAGGACGTTTTCACTCATTAAACAAAATTTCAAATGTGTGTATCACAGACACTGTTCATAGTTACAGCAAACAAATGTCACAATTGTATTGCTATAATGCTACTTTCATTTTCCACACTTTTGGGGGGCATGAATGCCTCCCGTTTATGAATTATGAATATTAATGAGGTCGGTAACGGAAGGACGGTAAAACGGACAAGGGTTTTCCAACTTACTCGCGTTTTGCGTAAACTCTGTGAATTTTATGGGGCAATTATATTTTAAAGGTAAGAAATGGAATCCCTGAAGCTTTATCTATACTATACCGCCTTTCATTTGACTTTAAGTGTTTCGGTAATATAATTACAACGTTTTAAGCAGATTATGATTTGGTAACGGAAGGACGGTAACGGAAGGACAAAAGGTTTACTCAATTATAGCATGAACAAAATGTGAATTTACACTAATTATACAAGTGAAACAAATGGCTGAAATGTGTAACTGAATGTGAAATCAACAATATGCAGACCTGGCATAAATAATTATACCCAAGAAACTATTGAGATAAAGATAGAAGCCTGCTAATTAATGATAACAAAAGAAAAACGAAAACTACCCAAAACACATAATTCACGAACACAAGACAACTACAGAAATGGACTTCAAACCCATCACCTCAATCCTTAAAAGTTTAAATACACAGTTTTGAGCACTTGAGTATATTGGTTACATGTTCACCAACTACTTTTAATAATAATACCGGTAGGTTCAGTGGTTTACCTAAAGGGGGGGGGGGGGGCGACCAGCCTACATGTACATTTAAGGTAAAAACATCTACCGGTAGAACTGATGGCTTCAGTTAGGTGTTGCTTTTAATTGAACTCTAAAATCAATGTTTGAAATCAAATTACAATGATTTGGAGTAGTAACAATTAATTTGTAAACATCCAAACTGCAATTGTTAACTTGGGCATAATTTGTCAAAGATTGCACCTCACATGTCTTACACAAGTAAATTGAATGAAAGTGCCCCAAAGTACCGGTACTTTCTGCCATCTCATTTTTGACTTAATTTGCTTCTGGAATGGCTTCACAGAATTCATATCTTTCTTTATTGTCCATGAATGCTGATGGCAGCAACTTTATGATTTGATTTTCTGCAACAACTCCATACATGTACAAGTACTGGTACATCAGCATATATGTACATGTACATTGTACATGTTGTACATGCCTGTGCCTTCCTTTGTAATAAACACCTTGCCCTGCTTATCCCGCCTTTGTGAAGGTGGGTCACATGAATGTCCTTTCAATGCTCATTATACATGCATGTATTTGCAGTGATTTTCATTTTTCAAACATGAGCGCAAATGTTGTAACATTTGATAAAATACGATTTGTCCTTCCGTTACCGTCCTTCCGTTACCAATTTGGTAACGGAAGGACGTGATTTAATTAATTGTAATTAAAAAACGAGAAGTACAGCAGTGTCAGTTATAATGTCATATTGAAGGCCTACCTAAACTTGCTTTGCACAATAACTTTCAATGCATTCATACTGCAAGTTTTAAAAATAAATTAAAAATATGTATTTTTTCGGTAACGGAAGGACATTTTCGAAGGCTGAAATATTAGAAGTCACTGAAGCGAAGCAAATTACGCAAAATGTTAAAAACAAGTTTTAGTCGGTTTTTCAAGACCAATACTTTCTCATGATAGAAACTGAAGGCATTAGTACATATTTTTGTGTGTGTTTTGGTAGAATACTTTCATATCACTATTTATCACATTTTTAGGATTAAAACAGGATTATTACATAATCCTATTTTTTGGTACCGAAATGTATAAAAAATAAAATTCTGACTTCAAATCTTGAAAATATAGACTTTTAGCTTTCATTTGATGCCAAATTTGTTTAAGTCACATGTATTTGAATTTTTTGGTGTCATGTCCACTTTGGTGTGGAATTGCCCAAATGAAAATACAGTCGGGCAAGATGGCGTCGTTCGGTCACCCCCAAATGTTAGCGGATAGCGCGCCTTACTCGTAAGTGACGGATCTGGGTTCGAGTTGCTGTCGCGCCCATTCAACATTTTAGAAGTTCCACCCCACAAAAGATGATTATTCTTCTTTTATTATTTGAAACTGACTCTATATAATTGCAGAGTATTACATTTTCTTTTTCTGATTCGTGGCTCTGGAGGATTTTTTTTTAAAGGGAAATAAAGTCTGAAATTGTAAATGGTCTGATTCCCATCTCGTGAATATGAAGTCACAATGACAATGTTGGCGCAGAACCAGACTTAGATTTGTCATGGTAAAAATTTTGAAGTCCCAAAAAGCAGTCACTGCGCATGTTCAGTGCCGTGCTGGCTGAATTAGAATGTCGCTTTACTAAAAGAAAGCTGGCACCGGCAAAATATCCACTGCCTAACTATAAAAGTAAGAAAGTATTGGAAAACTAAAAAAAATTTTTTTAAAAATGCATCTTAATTCTTATGCTTATTGAGCGCTTCAACTGCTTTGGGATATGAATCCATATACTGTAGATTCGCAGTGTTAATTTGCATGGCAAGATTACCATATGCGAAGTTCACTAATTTTCCTCTGTATTGACTAACAAGCCCCCAGATAGCAATTTCATGTCATCAAACTCAATTTGAGCAGTGAGAAAATACAAGCATTTTCTTAGAAAACACTTAGAATTTTTCAGTCCACTCTCATAGGGTTTGTACACAGAGTGTTGAGTGAACTTCTTATATGGAAATCTTTCCGTTTAATAATTCACTTTTTCTTTTTGAATACTACAGAATGTTCAACGTTGCCTGTCATGCCAGTTCAACATGTGCAGCATTTGTGGCCAAAAGTTAGCCGGTTTTGCGGAAGCTGATCGACATTTTAGAACTCTTTGAAACTTTTGTGACTTGTGCAAATTTGATGAACTGGACTGAAATAGTATACGACATTGCAGAAATACAAGGTCGTAATCCAAGGTTGGAATCAACCGGCTGAACGTGGAGACTACTCAACTGTATGTGTGGATCAACATTTACATGAACTAGTTGCATTGTACCGTGGTGAGTATTTATAAAACAATACTTCAATATTAAAGGGAAATACCTTACTGAATTGTTAGGGAATGACAGTCTAAAGCATCGTGTAAAATTGTGGCTCCTGATGTGCTGACATTTTCAAGAAAATCTGTATTTTTCCAACGCTGGTCGGCCGACCAGCGTTGGGAAAAAACTGGCTTTTTCCAAAAACTGCTCCTAGTTTTTCATATTTAGCTATTCCGCATTTTCTTTGCAATTGATTACACACCTGTGAAGTGGTACAAGCCTGCTATGGATTGATTCTTTTACCTTACAATTCCCCAAAGTCTACAAATTGCTCTGTTTCATCTTAAGTGGGGTCAGGGAACCATACTACAAGAACATGATTGGTTTTCCATGTTTTTCCAGCATCTACGAACCCAAAACATGAAACAAGTCAGTTGAACAATATTTGCTATAACATACTTATCCTCCAAATTCATTTATTTCTGAAAACTGCAGCAAAAGCAAATGTTGTACATTCCCTTTAAAAAAGTAGAGTTTTTGCAGTTCATGTACTTGCTTATCTGCTATTCAAAGAATGCTCACAACTTCTTTGAAATCACAGTGAAATAACAAAATAATTGAATTGACTTTTTTCTTGATACATGTATGTGAATTTCACATACATAAATGTACATGTACACATTTCACTTTTATAGCACTTGTGTGACGTCAATTTTCAACTGACAACATTCGGTTGTCTGGTCAGTAGTTTGAAAATCCATTTGACATGTTTGTGGTACATTATAGGCGCATTTTGGTTATTTATAGACATGGCATACCTTCTCCCCAATGTAGAAATATGAAACCACATGACCCTGTGCCACATTCAAGTCCCGTTACTTATAAATCATTGAACATTGTGGCTCTTGTCATGCTTGTAGAAGAATTTACAATATATATCATAATGTAGCCACTTACGGTGTTCTTTTTCCTAGGTACCGGTATGTTTACGCCTCCCAAGTCTTTTTCTTAAAGTGTCTTGTATCTTCTTCTCTGAAAGTGAAACTGACGCCTCCTGCTAAAATCTTAACTCCATCAGTAAATCTTGACTTGTATTCTATTTTTGTCTCTTGAAATGATTGCCCCACTTTTTCTCCCCAATAAATTTTGTCAACCCAGTTTCCTCTGAAAACCAACTTTCAACCATTTGGTACTCGCCCCTAGAACCTCCATAACACCCCCCCCCCCCACCCCAAACCGTCCCTCCCCCCTCAAAAAAAACAAAACAATATTTCCGTATGTCAGACACTGGTTTGACAATTGAGATTGTAGAAACTGTAAAAGATGAGTCAATTTTCTAAACAAATGCCTCACCCAAGACTTTTGTAAGGGGAGTTTACGATTGCAAAGGTGAACTTAAAGATATAGTCCATCATTTGTAATTTGTGCATTTTGTTCGTTTGAAGCAACAAAAGTGCTCAAAATCTAAAGAAGGGTACTGAATAACTAACCTGATGAAGTTTCAGCTCAGCTTCAGCTGTATATTCCGAGAAAAACAGCATTCTAGGATCTCAATTTCAAATCAAAAGTTGCTGAATCATGTTTTGAATTGGGCTTGAATTCAGCGTCCGAGACCTGTTCTCACTGAGCTGATGCAGCTACGCGGTGTCGCGCACTGATCCGATGAATTATAGCAACCGCGCTAGCGTGTGCGTCGTGCCAATGCTTGCGCGCGCTTCGCTGAATAACAAAACGAACTGGTTTACTAATTTAGATTTCCTACAGTGCGTCTTAAGAAGCACCGTTGGAAAGGCCTTCTTTCGTTGATTACTTCAAAATGACAGCTTGCCAGAAAGAATAATTTCACAGGGAGTTTAGTCCCCTTACTATCTTTCAACCAAGTATGTTTATTAACAATAATTACGCCAGTTACTTTTCGAATAGCTGCAAATGATGGACTATAGCTTTAAGCTCACATTAATTTTTTTCTTCAGTTGTCCATATTTGTCTATCATCTGTGTACATGTAGGAGTGGTGCTGGTTTGTTTTTATTTTAACACCTTACAAAAATATTTAGCAGTCGGAATAGTACACATGTTCTCATGCACAATACACAATATGCTCATTTTAATTTATGTAGCAATAAAGTCCAGACATACAGACTATACTAATGTTCAATTTAGGTTTTTGCCATTCACCGATGTATTAAGAAACACCGTATATTCGGTGTAACACCCCGAGTGAAACTGAGAAAAAAAATCACTCAGGTGGGACTCGAACCCACGACCTCTTGCTTTCCACAGCAGACATCTTACCACTCAACCACTCTCAGCTTTCCGGGATCGGTGGGTTGATTGGAATCGGATGTTACGGCGGCTACCGCAATGTTATGAACAGACTAATGTTGGCTGTAACCAAACTAATGATTCTGTTTGTCGCAGACATGATAGAGTTGTCTGTCATTTAATAATTGAAACAGAAATCTCTCCAAAATACACCACGTCGTGATGTGTATGTTGCACAGTGTACCGAGTACCGATCAGTACACACCTGCAGCCTATTGATTTTGCAGCAGGCTCGGTATTAATTTTAGAGTTGACAGGAAATTAAGTTGAAAATCACCGACACCCACCTGCCTGCAGTCATACTGCTTCTAAGAAAAAAAACAATGACATTTGCCATCTGCGTCCGATCACAATAGGATGTAGGTCGGGTAATTTCTTTATTTTGCAAATTTGGCCAGGAAAATTATTTAAGGCTTATGATACTATAAATATGAATGCATTTATGTACACAGTGGCATGCCACTATACTGAACAATGCTATATACTGCGATATTTTTGGTTTCAATGTCCCATTCAAACCTGAATGAGATTTCATTGCCCAAAAAAATAGCAATTGAATTTTTCTTCAGAACTTCCCGGTTAATTAAACTACAAAAACAGAATGGACTTGACATACACACGTACACTCCCTGTGCTTTGTCCAAGTTTCATCCGAAAATTAGATTTTGTTTGAAATTGCTATTTTTCTAGTGATCTAAAGGTTATTCCCTTTGGACCGAGACATTGAACCAAACTAATCAACCCATGTTTAGTCATTAATTACACAATATGCACTCTACAAATTTTGAATTATTTTCGGCCCAACATTAATTCAGGTGCATCTTTAATGCACTATGGATGCAAAAGAAACCCAAAGTAAAATTTTATTTTCAGAGGGGTTGAACACATCCAAAATATAAAAGTAGCCTTTTTGTTTAAATACAAATTGATTCTGGTTGAGCAACGTTCACGTTAAAAGTCATATATTCAGCTGTGTCGTCTGTACAGTAAAATTACATTCATTCCTTAAGTACATGCAGGCATTGTACATACAATACATGATGTACGGTACGTGTATGTATGTAAATTGCTTTTCATCCGTTTTCTTTCACATACCCTTGCCGTCACCCTTTCATGCTTGTCTTGCTTTCGACCTTGAAGTGCTAAATTGAAAATGAATTTGAGAACAGCTAGCAGGCAGCCTCTGTAAAATAATGCATGAATCTGTCGAGTCATAATTCATGCAGGCACTTGAGCAGTACACGGAATGCCTGGATTTCGCTGTGTAATTGGTATTCTTTTCTGAGAATTTCAATTTTCAGACTGTTTTTAAAAATCAACGTGAGAATGTTCAGATGTATTGTACATATAATTGCAACTTTCACTCTGTCATCTCTTGCTATGAAGGCATGCACATTTTTTTATTTTTGAGAAAACAACTAATTTATAAATAATACGGGCAAGGGCGTCAATCGCTTCTGAAAAGTGGAGGGGGGGGGGGGACATACCTTGACCAGCAGTGATGTGAGCGCGAAGCCCTAACGGCCTGGGGTCCGGGGCCTGCTCAAGGACCCCGGAAACTCTAGATGCTCTGTGGTGCGATCTGACATAATTTCTGACCATGCGAGCAAAAGATCATCTTTTAAACATCGGTTTTTGAGTTTGGAGCCATTGAATTAGCTATTCATAAATACCTCAGACAATTTAGCCATTCCTATTGGTCGAGAGCCCGTCACGTGGCCGGTATTAAACGGATGATAAAGACATGGCTAGCTGGTCTTAAACACTTTTCCAGTGTCACAATAAAATGTGGACTCCTAAAAATCCAGTGCCTCTTATCGTTTCATTGGTTGAACGTTCACAATCCTCACGTAGGCATGCGCAACACTACCAGGGAGTTAGAATTTTATAGTTCTAAATTCAAAATGCAACGCGCCAGGTGCGTTCTGCGCGACATCGCATAGAACACGATACGCGCGCGTCAATCTCCATAAAAGGGTTGTTTTCATCTTACTCGCCAGCTGAACACTCCATTATTTTGCAGGAGGGATGATTCAAAAAGCATAAAGTGAATTTGTTGAACAAAATCGGGATGTTTTGAACGAATTATATGATTTTTTTTTACCGAAAAGGTATTTATGAATGGGAATAAATATGTACTCCGTCGGTATTTATCACTCTGTTTAATACCACTTAGAGTCTGGGTGCTGATAATTACCCTCGCCTCCGGCTCGGGTAATTATCAGCACCCAGACTCTAAGTGGTATTAAACAGAGTGATAAAAACCTCCGGAGCACACATTTATTCCCTTATTCTAAGCTATAGAATCATTATGTAGGCTACAAATTTTATTCGGGGACAAAAAAGTATGGGGGGAGGGGGACAAATGATATGATATCCCCCCCTCTCGTCCCCTACCAATTGACCCCAAAAGTACGGGACATTGAGAATGGAAGTTTGTAAATAATATGGGACATTGTTTGCAAAATATCATAAGGCCTTTAAACTGCACCCGATTTCACGAAGCGCTGCGACGCGTCGCAACTCCAGTTACGACGTGTAACACGTCGCGCAACTCGCGACGCGTCGTATCTTCCATTTCACGAAAGTTGCGATGTGTTGAATGCGTCGTAAGTTCCTTGACAACGCCTTAAAACACGTCGCAAGTTACGACGTGTCTAGTGGTCATCGCAAAATAAGAAGAGTAATTTCTAAGCCAGTTTTATGCCATAAACATTACATTAACGAGATTATAATACCGAGGCAATGTGTGTAAAGTTGTAAATGGAAAATTCATTGAATAATTATGAATTAGACCAGAATAATAGAGTTGAAATTTCAAAGTAGCTATACAGTCCAATGAGAGCTTGTTTTCCTTCAAAATTGCATCGCACGGCCGCCATTTTGTTTTACGTTTTAACAAATTTTGAGCTGAGATCCGACGACTCTTTGTTGAATATCAGACGACTATTTACTGTACGCTGACAAAATACATGAAACAGTCACCGAGTTGTGCTATAAATACACCTACGACGCGTCTTACCTACGACGTGTTTTGTGAAACGGATCGCAGGACGTGTCGCAGCTGCGACGCATCGTAGAGATACGACGCGTCGCATCGCTGCGATGCATCTTAAGTTACGAAGAGTTTGATGAAATTGGGTGCAGGCATTGCAGAGCTACAGTTACTACACTTGCGTTGTTTTTGTTTATGTTTGTCTATCAGTGATATCTTGGCCGGTGTGCGCTCATGAGGACCCTGACGGCCATGGAGAAGTATGAGAACCTCGGGCTGGTCGGCGAGGGGAGCTACGGCATGGTCATGAAGTGTCGGCACAAAGAGACCAATCAGACGGTGGCCATCAAGAAATTCATCGAGTCGGAGGACGACAAGATGGTCAAGAAGATTGCGCTACGAGAGGTCCGGATGCTCAAGGTATGGAGAAATTGGCAGTTTGGTGAAGGGGAGGTGTGGATGTTACGGGCCGGGGAGTTGGAGGAAGGTTGAAGTCTTGGCCATAGACTCCCCAGAATGATCCTAGAGCAAAAGATTCTGACCATTCTGAAAAAATCTTAGCTCAGGTAGCTGCCACGGCTTAAAATAAACATGATGGCCCTTTCTCAAAGCTTGGCTTCAACTCCGTTTCGACTTTTGAAACAATAGAGGCCTTTTGTTCCGACCAAATGATAAAAAAAAAAAATTCGCTCACTTGCTTCGATTTTTTTAAGAAGCATTGCAGATATTTTGTTCTGCAAGTAATTTTATTTTATGCCTGGAAACACCCAAGAGCTTTGCTTCATCTCTGTTTCGACTTTTGGAACAATTGAGGTCTTTTGTTCCGACCAAGTGATGTAAAAAAAAATTCGTTCAATTGCTTCATATCATACAGTTTGATATTTTTGTAGAAAACATTGTCTCGTGATGAGCCGAAATCTCCAAAGCTAGAAACCCAAATATATTGAGGCACAAAATGAACTTTAAAAAAAAATTAAAGCAAGTATATATATGAACTCAAAATTTTCAATTTTTTTAAGAAACATTGTAGATATTTTGTAACTGCAAGTACTTTTATTTTATGCTTGAAAATACCTGGGAGCTTATCTGGAGTTTGGACAAAATGCATTTGGTAAACTTTGGAAAATTTTGGATCCTGCCCGTTTTGTTTTTGGCCACGTCTATTTTCAGCCGTGGCGGGTACCAGAATCTTTTGGTGTGATCCTTAGCGTGGCAGTAGAGGGAGCAGTCAAAAAGATGAATCAAATCCAATCTTTGGAATTTTGGCACTCAGACCTTAAAATTAAAAGTAAAAGCATACCTCCGGCGTGCAGTACCTTGAATATTGCCCAACCAAGGTATTCTCAACTTTCTTGGGTAGGAGTGGCAAAGTTCCCAAGACATTTTGTTCATTCATTCATTCTACTGTTGCAGCGGCTTGCCAGGGACTGACCGCACATAAGGTCCCCAACGAAACCTAAATCCAACCAGGGGACCGAGGCAGGTTGGGTTGTGTCAAAGTAATGAGGCAGCTGATTTCTGACGTAATAAACAGGACTCGTTTATACTACGCTGCATCGGGAGTCCTGTTTATTACGTCACAATTTACTATGTTTTGTTTGCTGCCCCCAACGACAACTTTTACACAAATTGCACGTTCGGGTCGAAACAGGACCTGAAAAACAGCTCTCAAAAGTACCTTTTGTACTCATTTCATGACAGACACAATAGTCGTTTTTATTTCATCACACCTTTGGCTACATATACCCGAAAAATGACGGAAATGTCTTCGAGCATTCCACAACCTCTTTAAGTCTTATTACCGGGTTCATGTAAAACTTTAGCTCTCGTAGAATCGTGTGATACTTTCCTTGCTGCACAAAGTTGTTGCAAAGTGGTATTTTTTGGCAGTTTTAAAATATGAGAAACTTCTTTTGCAATTATCTCGAAAATGCTTTTTCTTCAAAATCCACATCTGTGAGAACGGTGACGATGTATGATTCTTAGATCTACCGGTATGGTGCGTTGTGACCACACGTGAGAACTCGATTGAAGGGACACGTTGTGTAAGCCTTGGTTTATAATGCTACGAATTACGCATGATTGATTTGTTCTGAACTTAAAAAGAAATCATGTTGTCGTCACTAGAGCGTGAAGCATACAGTGGCAATGCCTTTAAAAAGTGCTATAAGATCGTTGAAAATTGGCAGGGATCACAGGAAGATGAGGCAGCCAATTAAAGATACTGGAATCCAGAGTGACTGCAATTTGCGCTCTGTCACTCACTCATTGTACCAGAAATTGTAAATCATTGAGCGTCTCCCTGACAATAAGAATTTTCTCATTAAAAAAGAATTGTTGGCCTGCAATTAATTGGGGATCTGTGGATATTGCATTGCATGAATACTTGTTCATCCAATGTTGCCGCGCTGTTTTTTTGTCTTAATGCCAGTTTCTAGTCGGTCTTGCAATAGTCGTGCGACTGAAAAATTGACTCGCCATCAACTTACACGTAGTTTGTAGTTGTCGCTGAAGCACCAGCAACTGGTCGCCGAAGGACGCTGGCGACGTCGCTTCAGAGTTCAAATAATGGAAATTTGACGTGGCTGCTGACCTCATTTTTCATCATTGAGCCAATAGGATTGCTTGATCCTTAAGAAAAATGAATATGCAAATACGGCACAGACTAATGGACAAAATGTCTAGACGACCATGTTTTTGTAAAGCAATTTCTGGGTATTTTGCTATTTAGCAGGCTGATTACAGAAACGGAAATCGTTGGAATTTTTTCTTTTTCAAATGATTCCTGTCAGGAATCTGTGAAAGCAATTTTCTACCTGAGGCTGAACACTGAAGAGCAAAGCAACAGAAATCGACATGTCTTTATGATTAAATTCATATTAATTAGCGCCTTGAGTACCTAATTGTTGGTATATCTATACGTGCACTATATAAGACTCTGATATTATTATTTTTTATTATTACTTGTGTCATTTATTTATATTTATCGTTTTTTTTTTATGTATTTATTTTTTACATGGTTTGAGATGTTGATAAAACTGAACATCAAACAACAACCGCCAAAGTGACAAATGGTCATAAACACCTAAAAAAAAGAAAGAAGAAAGTCCACACTCATTGGAGAGGGTCATAATTTTGAATCTGATCGTCTTATGAAGACGTCATTTATATACATGTAGACCTTTGGGGAATGTTGTTAGCTACATTTTGATACCCCGTTTGCTACCAAAGACTGTAAATCGTCCAACACTGACAACGGTTTATGAAAAATGATGCAGTTTGAAAAGTTGCAAATTGAAAGAGTACGCAAGTGGAAATTGCTGCGTGCAATGTTACACTGCCTGAAACGAACGGCAGGGAGTATCGATCGCACAGTGCTTGTATGCATGGGAGCACGCGAATTGAATTACCCGCGCTTTGTTCGGGCACTGTGCAGTTGATACGATAGGGGCCAATTACGGGCATGTGTGATTGCGCTTAGCAAGTTCTTCTCACGTAATCTTTTAATTTGCAACTTTTCAAACTGCATCATTTTTCATAAACCGTTGTCAATCTTGGATGATTTACAGTCTTTGGTGGCAAACGGGGTATCAAAATGCATCTAACAAAATTCCCCAAAGCCAAGGTCTAGATATGAAGTCATCGTAAGACGATCAGATTCAAATTATGACCCCTCCAATGAGTGTGGATTTTACTTTATTCAGCAGTAGCAATGCCTGATCATCACACTTCACAGTTGAATTTTGAGCGTATGATGCGTCTACAAACGTCGAGCGACGACTATAAACTGCCAAAAAAGGGCGTAGCATCCAGCGATCATCAGCATTGGTCGTTCCTTATGGTGCGACCGGCTGACAACCAGCCTTTATGGTTCTCCATAATGAGCAGAATTATTGCTGCTTTTTATTTGTTGTGTATACAAAGAGAGAGAAGAGCAACTATCAATACAAATGATGATAGCAAGATGTCAGGCCTCGTCCAAAAGGTGTTCCATTGTCAACATTCATCAGCTTTGTTATCTTACACAAATTTAATGACCATTGTGATTTATCATGCTCACAAGTCATGCCAGGCTGACTGCAAGACACAGTTCAATCATCCGTTGCAGACTCGCGTATCAATGTCACCTTTATACCATCGGCTCCGACACCCTCCAGACCAGAACCCATATTATGCTTTCAATTCCCAACAATTGTGTCGCGGAATCCGATTACTTGATGTATCGTGTTCCGTTGGCGTTCTGTCTGGTCTGTGCAATGCCTGCCTTGTCCTGTCAAACTCAGCCAGTTATTTTCAGAGGGTAAATGGAAAATAGCACAACGGAGGGCCGCTGTTGATTTTTTTATCGCTTGTAATTCATATTTTTGGAAGTGCCTTGTGTGAAGGTAACGCATAAAAGTCCTGAGCTGCTGTATTGCAAATATACTGAAAAACAAAGAAGACTAATTACTTAATGGAATGAAAGTACCATACTTTTCTGAATTTGTGCTTGAAAATTAAGTTGAACTTCTATACTTAAAGGGAATATACAACATTTGCAGTCAACAAAAAACAAAACTACCGAATTAGTATGAAAAACCTTACTGGACTGTTAGTGAATGGTAGTCTAACGCATCCTGTAAAATCATGGCACCTGGTGTGCTGTCCTTTTCTAGAAAAGTGGTATATTTGTATCAATTCCAAAGCTGGTCGGCCAACCGGTGTTTGAAAAAAACTGGCTTTTTTTCAAATACTGCCCCTAGTTTACCATATTTAGTTAGTCTGCATTTTGTTTGCAATCAATTACACACCCTACCCCGGTATGAACAGGAACAAGCCAGCTAGACTGTTTCCCTGACCTTACAATTGCCAAATACTGTACACAAAACGATGTTCAACAATGTGAGAAAAAACGTTATTTAACAGCCAGAGGAATAATTCGTACATTGACCACTATCATGCTTCGTACCTACATGTAGTCTACACATGTACCGGTACATGCTTGACCTGACACAAAAAGACAAATTTTACCTGAATGCGAGTTTAAATGTCAGAAATATCAATTCAAAACAAATTCTACAATCAGTTTAATAATAACAAATAAAAAAAGTTACAGTTGAAACAAATTTAAAAGGAAAATTAGATGAAAAACTATTTCATTCATGACATACATGATGTCTTGAAAGCTGACCGCAAAGCATAAAGTGGACACTATTTGGCAGCGGACAGTTTTCGGCATGACACCGGTACCAGGTGCTAAAATTTCACAGAATGCTTGATACTATTATTTACTTACAATTAAGTAGGCTATTTCATAACATTTTGCCGGTTTCGTTTTTGAATGTTTGCAAATGGTGTTTAGTGAATAAATTAGAACAACCATTAATCCTAAATAAAAAAAAACCATAAATGTGCCACAAACTCCACAAAATATAAATTAA